CGTCGTACCGAGAAAATAAATTCTCGGATGTAATTAGAAACCATGTTTGGACTATTTTCGATCACATGACTCAAATGCCAAACTCAAAGTTAACACTAACTAGGTTGACTAACAATATATATATATATATATATAAAACAGTGCCAGTGTGGCATTTGAAACTGAAAGTGACTGTTGATGTTTTCGTGCAAAGCTACACAATGGTCCATCTCCACTCTGTCCAGCGCGAGGAATCGAACCTCGAATTTAACGCTGACCTAAGTTAAAGTTACTATAAGAAACAACAAAGCAGACAAAAGCAGCAATATTACCTCAAAATTCTTGCCTAACACGCGTAATTTACGATAAGGATATGAGAAAAAGGACCAACGGGTTATTTACGTTAGAGATGATGAGTGGTTTCGAGTCTATAATCATTGGCTATCTCTATTTCTCATTTAAAAAACATTTTTTTGGTAGGTGAAACGTGATTTAACACAACAGTTTTGCTAAAAACAGTGAAAAATGTAGCATTTTCAAATATTACCGGAAACATTTTTCTGCGTGATATTACATGTCCTCCGCCGGTGGCGTATCACCAAAACCCATCAAATCAACGTGTATTCCTACTATTGCATCCAATAGTGTTTTCTATAGGTATGACGGAAAAGCTCGATCAGTGTTCGGATTGTATCGGAATAGTGATGATCATCCTAATAAAATGCCCCCCAGTGTCACAGCGGCATGTCTGCGGACTTACAACGCTAGAATCCGGGTTTCGATACCCGTGGTGGGCAGAGTACAGATAGCCCTTGTGTAGCTTTGTGCATAATTAAAAACAAACAAACAAACAAACCTAATAAAATAAACGTTGATTAAATATTTTTCATCATGAGTGTAAATCATAAACTTAGAAAATGTTTTTCAAAGCTACGAAGGCGGGCCACGCGGCCGCGTGTGCCGAACTGTGGATCTAAGATTCCGTGGCTCGTGTCCCGTCATCGTAAAAAAAGAAAAAAAAAAAATACACTCTTCACATTTTGGGGGTCGTTAGTGTGTTACGAGAGTGACGGTGAATCACGCTATTCGATTTGAGTAGGTGGTTGGTGGTGTTTATTAGCTCCCTGCCTTTCCTCTAGTCTATCACTTCAAAGTTACGGACGGCTAGTTCATATAGCCCTCGAGGATTGTTTGTTTGTTTGTTTTGAATTTCGCGCAAAGCTACACGAGGGCTATCTGCGCTAGCCGTCCCTAATTTAGCAGTGTAAGACTAGAGGGAAGGTAGCTAGTCATAACCACCCACCGCCAACTCTTGGGCTACTCTTTTACCAACGAATAGTGGGATTGACCTTCACATTATAACGCCCCCACGGCTGAAAGTGCGAGCATGTTTGGTGGGACGGGGATTCGAACCCGCGACCTGCAGATTGCGTGTCGAGTGTACTAACCACCTGGCCGTGCCGGGCCGCCCTCTAGTTATGAAGGTTTGCATTGCATAGGTATAAGGTAGTGGAACAGTCACATTTAAATAAATTCCTGCTGTTTTACTGACGGCTAGGGATGGACATACGACTTTAGAAATATGGCCTGATGGTTAGGGAGTTCGACTGGCTATCTGAGGGTCGCAGGTTCGAATCCCCGTCACACCGAATATGCTCTTTCAGCAGTGGGGGCGTTATAATGGGACGGCCAGTCCCACTATTCGTTAGTAAAAATAGTAGTCCAAGAGTTGGCGGTGGGTTGTGTTGACTAGCTGCCTTCCTTCTAGTCTATTGTTGCTAAATTAAGGACGGCAAGTGCAGATAGCCCTCGTGTAGTTTTGCGCGAAATTTAAATAAACAGACACAAATTACATGATGTTGAACAATTTTATGATCTTGTCTGTTTCAACACCCAGAATAAAGAACGACCAAGAAAGAAATGAAAAAAAAAGGCTTAAGAGAGTCACTTATTTCCGATGTAAAATATATATATAATAAACCTCATCAGTAATTATTGGAATTAACTACAATAATGATGATATTTTATCTACATTATTCTGTGTGAGTCATATGTTATTTAAATCCCTGTAACAAAAAAATTAATAGAGCCACGAGTAATTTGACGTATAAATAGTTTAGAAAACTCTACTGAGAACGTCGTTGTTGTTCACATGGGCCCAATCGGTAAATAGGCTTACATAGCTCTGAGGCTCTGACTTCACCGCTAACAGCTTTGAGGAATGTTCAGTCGAAATTACCATAAATAAACCAGTAAAAGTTTCTGCTCGGATAGATTTATTTTTTGTTGAGAATTATCCATTACAGAAACGAGAAATCGTCTCTCAGTTCTCCTCTTCTATTCGATTTTTCTTATCGTCACAATCTAGTTTCCTTCCCCCCTCCTCCTGACTTACAAAATCGTTCTTACAACTTCGGAAGCATGCGGGTAACACGAGTTGATTTACGTTCATCCAAATAACTCCAGATAGTTCTGTACGTAACGAGCAGACAAAAACAAACAAACAAAACCTACCAGAAATAGACGACCCGTACACGACACAGCAACATTACATTACGAGCAGTAATCGACACTACGCTATGAATACATTACATTCCGTTAACCTGCACAACATTACATGTTTAGTATTCTTTACTGAGTTACACTACACTGTTACCGTATTACATTACAAGCTTCTCAACACATTGCCCTATTCTATTTAACTCTACATAGTATTATTACTGATGTCAAGTATAATATTACATCAACGTGTCAAGTGTAATGTTACGTTAACGTGTCAAGTAGAATATTACATCAACGTGTCAAGTGTAATGTTACGTTAACGTGTTAATTGTGATGTTAACCTATCAAGTATAATATTATACAAATATGTCAGGTATAATATTACATCAATGTGTCAAGTGTAATGTTACGTTAACGTGTCAAGTAGAATATTACATCAACGTGTATTATACTTGATAAGTTAACATAACATCACAATTAACACGTTAACGTAACATTACACTTGATTATACAAATATGTCAGGTATAATATTACATCAACGTGTCAAGTGTAATGTTACGTTAACGTGTTAATTGTGATGTTATGTTAACTTATCAAGTATAATATTATACAAATATGTCAGGTATAATATTACATCAACGTGTCAAATGTAATGTTACGTTAACGTGTCAAGTAGAATATTACATCAACGTGTCAAGTGTAATGTTACGTTAACGTGTTAATTGTGATGTTATGTTAACTTATCAAGTATAATATTATACAAATATGTCAGGTATAATATTACATCAACGTGTCAAGTGTAATATTACGTTAACGTGCTAACTGTAATGTTACGTTAACGTGTCAAGTATAATGTTACATTAACATGTCAAGTATAATGTTACTTTAACGTGTCAAGTATAATATTACATTAGCCTGTCAAGTATAATATTACATTAACGTGTCAAATATAATGTTACATTAACGTTAACGTGTAATTTATAATGTTACATTAAGGTGTCAAGTATAATATTACGTTAACGTGTCAAATATAATGTTACATTAACGTTAACGTGTCAAATATAATGTTACATTAACGTTAACGTGTCACATATAAGGTTACATGAACGTTAACATGTAATTTATAATGTTACATTAAGGTGTCAAGTATAATATTACGTTATCGTGGCAAGGATAATATTAACTTAACATGTCAAGTATAGAATGTTAACAAGTTTGATTGACGAGGACTTCAGTTTATATTAGGTCGTTAAGAAAGTAATGTCGCGTTTTGGAACACTTTCATTAACCACCCACAAAAAAAACGTATATCACATAAAATAGTTAAACGAACCGCCTAAATGTCGCGTTAGTGTAGCCTATATAATGTGTAAAGTTTAGTATATTCTAATCCTTTATAGTGATGATAAACAACGAGACACACATTCGGTATATAATGCTGTTTGAATACAAGAAGGGAAACAACGCTTCTGTAGCCACAAAGAAT